TCGCCGCCGCCGCCGCCGCCTGCACCGCCAGGCCGCCGTCGGGAGACGACGCCCACTGCCCACTGCCCTGCCCTGCCCTGCCCTGCCCTGCCCTGCCCTGCCCTGCCCTGCCCTGCCCTGCCCTGCCCTGCCCTGCCCTGCCCTGCCCATGCCCTGCCCATGGCCCCCGCCGATCAATTCCCCATGTGGCTGCTGTCCCCCCCCCCACGCACACAGCCGACGACGGGCGGCTGACATCATCATTCGCTGCCTTTCTGGCGCACTTCCCCCCCTCGCTCGCCCTCTGCCCTCTGCCCTCTGCCCTCTGCCCTCGCCCTCTCCCCCTCTCCCCCCTCTCCCCCATCCCCCCCAAAAGAGCTGCCGTGGGTTCCGCCGGCCGCCAATGGCCACGGCCGCAATGACGTCCTCTCGCCGCTGCTCTCGCCGCTCCGCCTGGGCATGCCTCTGCCTCTGCTACTGCCACTGCTATGCTCGTCGACACCCCCTCTCGCTCGCCCACCTCCCACCTTCTCCCCCCTCTCCCATCCCCCATCCCCCATCCCCCATCCACCCCTCCTGCGTCGTATACCGCCAGATGCCCGGCACCCCCGTGCGCTGGGCGTGTTACAGGATCGAATCGTTCCTCTGCCGCAACGCACTCTGCACGCTGCACCTGCACTCTGCATTGCGCATTGCGGGTCGCCGTGGCCACGCGCACACTGACAGGCGCGCGTGATTGGGCGCGCCCGCTGATCGCGTCTTTGTCGGCCATCCGCTTCGTCGAGGATGCGACAGGCCCAATGTCTATAAGATCGGCTGTAAGGACCCGGCGGCGGCGCAACCGCTGTGACCTGCCACTTTGGCTGCTATGGCATTTGCTGATTGCCGTTGCGCTGCTCTCCCAGGCCATGCTAGTCTCCTTGTACACCGATGCTGATGCCCTCCCCTCGACATCCAAGTACGTACATGGACTAAGTAGGCCCATCCCCCCTCGCCCTCCCACTGCGCCCCCTGGCCCGCTGCCCTGCCTGCTGCTGCCAGGTGCACACACTCGGTCCTTGTCGTCGCCGTCGTCGCCGTCTGCTCTGGCGACACACACAGGCGCCCGCCAAACGCTGCCATGGCACGGCCAATGACGAAATTTGTGTTTGATCACCCTGCCACGCCCGCCGCACCCCCCGGCCGCTGACCCGACCGCTCGCCGTGTCTCTGTTCGGCCGCTGTCCCCTTTGTCTGCCCGTGTGCATTGTATCCGCGCCTGCGCCCAATGACTGGATGGAATATTTCCCGCCCCCCGCCCCGCCCAACGGAAATTGTCGCACCTTCTGCGCTGCTAGCCCCCAAGCCCTTCCACTGGTGCATTGGCCCGACGATCCCCAGGATCATGACGTTCAACGTCCAAAACACCACAAGAAAAACACTCCCTCCGACGCTGCTGCTTCCAATCAGCCGTTTCACCTCGCATGGCCCACCTCCCCGGTGCGATCCGCATCTCGCTAACCTCTGCACTCGCTCTCGCTCTCGCTGCTCGACTCCAAAGCCTACCACTGCTCACCACACGGTAGCCCAAATGCCCGCGCGCCTCTGTGTGTGTGTGTGTATGTTTGTCTTCGGCGCACACACACACACACACAGACACCGCTACTCTGCCACGCGACGATCGTGTCGGGAATACGGCCCATCGGGCGACTCAATCAATACATACAAGCAGCCAGGAGCATCCTCTGTCATGCCGCCGCCAGCAGCCTCGGCAACCTTCGGCTTCGATGCCTTCTTTGCTCAACCAGTCGGTCCGCGCCTTGTATGTACGTACACCCACCACACACCACGCCTCTCCCCCCCCCCCCGTCCAGCACAACACTCTCCACCATAGTCGATTCGATGACGATCACTATGGGGTGATTCAGACGAGCCTCACATGGCCTCCTCCTACACACCACTGATCGCCGCATCCCTCCACACACACAAAACCCTCGTCCACCAAACCATGGACAAGTCCTTTATTCTGCAACCACTCCTTGCCCCTCTCTCCACGCTGACGAGGCGCCGTCCCCCCAGCACCCCAGCACCACCACCACCACCACCATCGTCGATGCGCGCTGCGAGACAAACTCTCTTTTTCCCCCGCCCCGCCGGCCCTCGTTCCTGTCTCCTGTCAGCCCTTCCCGCGCCGTGTCATCACCATGTCGTCGTCTGGTGCAATGTCTCTCGCCTAATTCCCTCGATCAATAGGCTACGTTTGCGCCGCTGCTAATACTCGTCCCCCGCTCGCTTTGCATCATTGTTGGCCCGGCATCTTCCTTGTC